GACTTCAGGCCCAGGCCTCCCTTGCAAAAATGATCTATATTAATTTAATTTGTCTGGTTAAATAAAGGTTAAAAAATAATTTTATCTTCTAGAAGACTTTTGCTGCTGTTATGTTCTAGTTAGCCTCCTGTTACCTTTAGCTAGGCTTGTGCTACATTTTTTTTTGATACTTGATCATTTTATGTTTTTACTACCATTTTGCTACTTTGGCTTTTAATTAACCTTTTGCTAGTTGTAGCTTATCTTTTGCCGCTTTTARTTTTTAATCTAATCTTTGCTATTTTTTAGCTTTTAGCTAATATTTTGTTACTTTTGACTTGTAGCTATTTTTACTTAAAATCTACCCTTTGGTAAATGTTAAGTTTTAGGTAGCTCTGAGCATTGTTTTCACAGAAAATGCAAGTTCTCAAATTTAAAAATTTGTTTTTATTTGATAAGACTACATTTTTATTTCCTAACGGTTTTATTTTCTGGTATCACTTCTTTTGTTTGTGTTTAGGAGACATTAATATTGTAATTTCACTTACATCTTTTTACAAGGCATTTGACTATTACCGTAAAATGCTGACTACCGTCTTAGTTCACATTAAGGAGAGGTCAGGTTTATATACAAAAAATAATAAAAATAATAGTAAGATTGTCATTGTCTTTATTTGAATAATTCAGAAAGCTTAGCATTAAATTATTCTTTGGAATGATTTTGCTCAATTGAAAATTGTATAAATTTGGTGTCATTCTACAAGTCAGTCATGCTTATTTATTTAAATAAAAACAAGTGCCTTCAGTGAAAAGTAACTATACCCTCAAGATACGTGTCAAACTGAAACATCAATAATAAAACATTGGTTTCCGTGCCACCCCAGAGAGAGTAACAGTGTCAGTCTGGCCACGTCACATTCTCCCTCCACCTCTGGCTTTACTTCTCCCTGACAGTTTTAATGACCACTGAAACACTGTTTTCATGTGTAATTATGGGGTTTATATATTGATGTCATACTTGGGTTGGGCTGCAGCATGACTTCAGTCTGCCTGTAGATTTTTTCTGTCCAGTTTTTGGTGCAGTCTGCACGGCTCATCAGATTCTCAAAGTGAGCATCCAGCTCCGTCTTCTCGGCCTGGCCCAACTTCTCCCCCGTGTACTGAGGTAGAACACACAGATGTTACACTCTGGTCAGTTCACATCTTTAATCAAACAATACTAAAAAGATGTCAGGACCAGTGAGATGTTGACAAGGGAACTAGAATTCAATAATCCAGCATAAGACAATAAACTGGGCTTCACAAATTTCATCCAAACAAATCAGGGTGTGGAGAGGTGACTGTGTCAACTGTCTTTCCATCTTCAGTGAAACAGGCCAACCCCATTAGCATGATGACCAGCAATCATTGTAATGATTTTGTCTCGTGTGTGTGTGTGTGTGTGTGTGTGTGTGTGTGTGTTCGTTTTTGAGTATGGACTTGCACATTTTCATAT